CACTAGAGTAATTAAGCTTAATGTGTGTGACAAAATAAACTAATATGAACTCAATCCCATGTTTAATGTCACAGTGAAATTCTTAGCTGATAAAATTCCATAACAAAATACATCACAGGTACATTTGTACACAAACGTTTGAGTGCCCTGATCAAATGATATGGTTTTATTGATTTTCTATGTCAAAATAAGTGATCAGAGAACACACTAAAATATGGCCATCTTTATTTATTTGTGTAACTTAATGGGGAGAAAAAATAAGACATATTAAATCTGCCTTAGCTTATTTTTATGGTCTTCAACATTTTAAGAAATAATCTTGAATATAGCATTTTTGAGGCTACATTATTAACATAAGCACTATAATACACACACACACACACACACACACATACACACTTCAGGCTGCTATAGCTAACTAAGCTAACTTAGTGCTAAAGATTCAGCTTCAGGACTCTTTATTTACAGTTTTAATTTGATAAAAGTGTATTTTTTAATTAAAAGTAATACATTCATTTTCAGCAAACTTTCTTGATCAACATCTAGCAAAAGGGCACACCTTAGCACATTTTAATGCACAATTACTGGTTATTTGTTGAATTTAACATGTTGGGGAAAAAATAAAACAAAATGTGTCCTCTGTAAAGTTTACATCTTATGTTTTTTTTTTGTTATTTTGTTAAACTGTGTATTAGCATTTATGTAAAACTATGTACTAAAATTAACTTGCCAAATTATTTTCACATAAAAAAATCAACAGAATATGTAATATGACCAGAAGTGTTCAAACCTTTGCATCTGACTGGTCATACCTGAGTCATGCACTCAATATGTATCAAAGTCCCCATATAGTATAATGTAAACGTTACAGAAAAATGGTCATTTTTGCAGGCTTGTTGTCTGTCTGAGGACAGAGCCTGACATTGGTGTTTGTAAAACAGGAGTGTGTTTGTTTGTTTGCTCCAGGAATCATGAATTAAAAAGATGTTTGTTGAGGTTGTTTTATTCATAGAGAACTTACTGCTGGCCGATGTGCGTGTCCGAGTCCCTTGTTGAGAAGTGGGCAAGGTTAAGTGTAGCTGAGATCGACTGTGGGGTCAGACGGATTAAATCGCCATTGCATTATTAACACGGCTTTTTGCGTGTGTTGTGTGTGTGTGTGTGTGTGTGTGTGTGTGTGTGTGTGTGTGTGTGTGTGTGTGTGTGTGGCCTTAGGTGATCAACCCTTATTATGATCACACACACTGGAGCTTACATGAAGTTACAGAGAGAGAGGTGTGTGTATGAGAGAGAGAGAAAGACTTAGAGTAGGGTGAGAGAAAAGAGAAAGATGTGCCACATATATGCGTTTGTTAGATGTTCTTTTTAAGAGTGACTCTGGCTCAATCCCATTTCTTATTTTTACCCCTACCCCTGTTTTCGAGTGTCACCTTGCCTCTTGGAACTGAGTTATAAGGAATCTTACCGATGAAATGGGACCCTCAAATAAAGGAGAACATTAATTCTTTAACAGGCTACTAGCGCTGCTCTGTAGGCGACCCTGCCAGTCTGCAGTGACAGCAGAGAAGGGTAAAGTTCAGCAACCTCACTGCTGGGCTTTAGTTACATTTAGGGCATCATATGCCTTCAAAGAGGGGGGCAATTATTTATTATCGCCCACCCCTAATTCTTCTGTGGTATGAAGCTGAAGTCAGATATTCACCAGCTTCTAGTTTGAATTTTCCCTTTCCACTTTAAATGGAGCAGCAGTTTAAAGTGGAATGGGAAATTTAGCTAGCTAGCTACCGAGAAATCAGCATTATAGCGATTATTATGCTTGTTATAAAGAAAAGGACCATAATACATTGAAATGAGCTTAAACTAGGATAATATAATGGTTATTGTAACTTTTTAACTGAGAAAATTCTCACATTTGTGAGTTTCTTTGGTCGCTCGTACAGCCATCTTGCCTTTTCTTTTTTCTCATTACACTCCATTGGAAAACCTCCGTTTGGAGGGCCATGTAGCCCTAACACTTCACCCTACCCCTCTATCTCAACATATCCAGACTTACAAGTTTAATCATGTAAAGGTAGCATTAGCGATGGGAGTCTTGCTCAGGGACTTTTCATCGGTATAATGTGTTGTTTTTGCAGCTGGGGATTCAAACCCCAGTCTGCTGTTTGGAGGGCAGAAGCTTTACCCACTACACTACACTAGCAATCTTTGGTTATGTTGCACATGCATAGTGTAATTGTAATTATTCAAACGTGCCCTAGTCCTATGCTAATATCCTCAGTTCCACTTACTTACAAAAATATGTATGTTGTTTTGAATGTGGGGTTGGGGTTAGAATAACTTACGGGTGGGCCACATCAAACATCCTCATGGACCAACTTTGGGCCATACTTTGCCTGCTCTAGTCCTTTACCAGGGGTCATTTTCTGGCCATAGAATGCTGTTAGCTGGATGTTTTTGGTTGGTAGACTATTCTCAGTCCAGCAGTGACTCTGAGTTATTTGAAAACATCAGTGTTACTGCAGTGCTGAGAATGACCCACCACCCAAATAATACCTGCTCTGTGGTGGCTCTTTGGGGGTCCTGACCACTGAAGAACAGCGTAACAAAGTATGCAGAGAAACAGATGGACTACAGTCTGTAACTGTAGAACTACAAAGTCAGTGAAGCTGATAAAATGAACAGTAAGTTTAGATACTGTTGATATAAACTCATGTAAAAGTGAGATTATGATGCTTTGTTCAGTGCAGAATGTTTTGAGAGAGAATCAAAATGTATCTAAGAAGCAGTTATTTTTCCCAGCTCTACTGGAGAGGTCAGTTTCCTGGACGTTCTCTGCCGAGAGCCTCTGCAAATCAGTGCTCTTCTTTGCTTTGCTGTTGTATTTAAACACCTGTTGTGCGTCTTTAAGGTAATGCACTGTTCACGCTGACATCTGCATCAGTGAGTGTCTCTGCCCTCCTGTTGACTCTGACTGTGTGTGTGTGGTTAAATCCACCTCTCTCTCAGGCCTGTGAGGTGGACGATTGATCTGGATGTCAATGCCAATCTAACAGCACTGTCTCCATAGATCTTCTGCCACTTACTTAACAGCGCAGCTGAGCATGCTGGAAGCGCACGCGCCCCTTCCTCTGATTCGTCTCAGCTTGCTTTTACGTTTAGAAGTTGAAAGAGATGGTTGAGCATAGTTGAATAGCCACTTCTGAAAATGAGCTGGTAGCTTGGCCATCCAGAATTGTTTAGGCTGTCCTTCTGATTGGGCTTCTTTGAGTTTTTGCAGGTGATTTTCAGTTTCTTGTGAAACGGTTGTAAGCAAGGTGCGAAATACAGGGGCTCCTGAAGGGTCTGGGACCCCCTAATTAACCTCTTATACCTTCTGAATGTCTCAAAATCAAATTGTATGTGGTCCCTGAAAATAAGCTTACTATGACGTTGTGCTATCTGATGGGTAACAATAGCAGGGAGTCTAACCCTACCCTCCCATGTACAGAGCAACTGACTTAACCATTCGACTATACAGCCGCTCCATGTTTGGCATGCGCACACAACTTTACAATATGCTGCAGTAAATCTGAAAACATTGCCAAGAGTTTGGAGGAAAGAGTGAATTTTGACCCCCTTCTCAAACCAAAGACACAAGAAGAGATAAAATCGAAGTCAGTATGTGGAAGATCGCATTACCAAAAAGCCGCTATGGCAAGTACATTAGTAGCTAGCCAATGCTGAAGTAGCCAGCCAGCATGGGCCCCAGAATACCAGGGGATATTTTGTACACTGGTTATAAGCAGTGGTGGGGAGGTGCCTGAATAGGAGGGTATACTGTGCATTTTTTGGGAACCCCACCCCAACATGTCTGTACCCATCCATACACTGTGACCAGGCAAACAAAGCACTATATATCTAAGAACCCACCCAGGACCACCAAAGAGCGGGTATTATTTGGGTGGCAGATCATTCTCAGCATTACACTGACACTGACGTGATGGTGGCATGTTAGTGTGTTGCGCTGGATTTTTAAACACTATGTCCACTCACTGTCCACTCCATTAGACAGACCTATGAGTAGATAAAAAGTTTTGAACCATTTTATCGGCTGCTTAAGACTTTTGCACAGTACTGTCCAACAGTAAGAACGTGAATAAAATATAATAATAATGAAAACAGATAAACTGAATAAAATAAATCAAGGAACAATTAAGAAAGACCAGTTCATGGAGATGTCTAATTAGCAGACTTATTGATATAAATCCTTTCTATCTACTAATCTATGTAGTGCATTCATCTGTCAATCCATTGATTCAGCTCATTGATCCACACTCAGGTGTTGAGTGTTTTATCTGCTGTGTATAAATAAGTTAGTAAATGTTGTTTATAGCATATTTAAACAGCAGTCATCTAAAATGCTGTCCATAAATAGGCATAGATGAAATAACAAAGCATCAAAATATAACCTAAAATGTAATAATTATAAGGTGCAAAATAGGTCTTAATTAAAAAAAGTTAACAGATGACACATTAAAGGTAGGCTGTTGCAAGACCTCGAAGCAGTGATCGCAAAAGCACAGCCACCTGTTTTTAAGGTTCAACTGAGCCAAAAGTAACTGACCTAAAGGCCTCAGAGATCTAAGAGCACAATGAGAGTGGAGCAAATCTGTGTTACAGGAAGGGGCTAGCCCATTAAAGCCTTTGAAAATAGGCAGAAGAGCTGAGAGTACCCCAAGGTTCTGTGTTAGGGCCTACCCTCTTCAGTGTATATGCTTCTACTGGCTAATATCAATCGGAGGTATAAAACTTCTTCATTCTTATGCCGGCACACCTCTATTTCCCTCTAAAGACCAACCCCATGTGCTCATTGAAGTGTCTTAGTAAGTGTCTAGAGGATGGCTAACACTTTTTACAACAAAATAAAGAGAAAACGGATGTCCTTCTTTTTAGCCTGGGTGTGAAGCTGCATGTTAAGAATCTTGGTGTCGTTTTTGATCCTGAGTCTTTTGCTTGTGCAGGTGTGCTGAACGGAGGGCAGCTGGGTCCAGGTGAGCTCCTGCAGCATCGTCTGTGCCGTGGGGAGGTGGACGCCGCACTGGGCATTCTGGGCAATATGGACTGGTGCATGATGGGAGCAGAGTGTTATCGTGCTCTTATCTCTGTGACAGATCACCTGCTGAGGAAACCGCTGGACGAGCGGACGGAAGGTGAGGCAATGAAAAATATTTGTGCTGTTTTCTAATAAACATTCTTTTATTACTACAGATTAAAATAATAGCTCACTGAAAAATATGATTAACACAATTTTTACCCAGATGGTGTTTTGTCAGCAATGTCCATCGACCAAGATGTGTTTGGCATCTAAAGTTTGCTTCTTTAGTTTCTTTTCAGCACTGAAACTACGAGACTATTATAGCTAACAGATAACAGAGGCCAGTAACCCACCAAATAGCATAGTGCTAAACACGTGCCTGCAACAGCACACACTCTCGAGGGTATTTCTTTAGATATGGGGCAATATTATACCTCATTTTATGATGTGTATTTGTGTTGAAGTATAGAACACAGGTACTTATTTTGGAGCTCAGTGTGTACTGATATGATTTGGTCTGTGCCTTATGGGAACCGATGTCTAAATGTGGTGAAATGAAGGCCTACAGACATGCTCAAGCTGGGAAAATGCTTTTCTTACCAATTTGTGGAGCAGCTATAATACATTATGTAATGTACTGCTGTTAACTGAAATGTATAGTCTCCCAGTGTTTCTTTGAAATTGTAGCCAAATGTTTTATGTCTTCAGGGCTGAATTGTAAGGAAAAGGTATATTTATGGACTTTTTGTGTGTGCGTGTGTGCGTGTGTGTGTGCGTGTGTGTGTGTGTGTGTGTGTGTGTTTGTAGCTCAGTTAGAAGCTGCTCTGGGGATGTTTTATTCTCCGTCCAGATCTTTAACAGACACCGTTATACTGGAGTATCGAGATCCCATCAGCTGCTACGCTCGCAGATTCTTCCATCACCTGCTCAGGTGCACACACACACACACAACACACACACACTTACACACACACATATGTGTAAATACATATGTGTGTATATACAGCTGTGTCTTCTAAGGTGTTAATATAGAGCCAGAGGAGTTCTAGAACATTCTAGTGTGTTGTTTTCTTTCAGACACCAGCGGTTCGAGAAGGCGTTTCTCCTGGCTCTGGACATTGGAGCTCGAGACTTGTTCATGGTGAGACACACGTTTTGTTTGGTGTTAGTAAAGCCAAAGTGCGTCCACACATCTGACTAGGGTGTCACAAGAGCTGGTTGTATGTCTACCATGGTGAATGTACAGCAAACTCAATAAAATAATCATAGCTATTGGTGAAACTTTGAGAATGATTGGCGTTTGGGAGCTACTGGCACCTATAGGTGTGAAGTAAGTACTTCATCCACATTGGTTTAACTAGATAGATAGATAGATAGATAGATAGATATAGAAGTAGACATACATATAGTTAGATATAAATATAGTTTGTTATAGATAGATAAATAGATAGATAGACTGATAGATAGGTGATCGTAATATCAGACACTTGGTGGTGGTTTGAGCTGAACTGAAGGTGGGCTGGTGCAGCTGGAGTGTGAAATCTCTCTTGGCCCGTAACAAGGCCAAGCTCAGGAGAGCAACAGTTACTCCTGGGCTGAATAGGGGGTGTGAGTGGGGGTCTTTCACGGCCCTCGTGTCCGATAGTCTTTTCTTTTTCTTCTTTCTTTCTTCGTGTCTGTGCTCTAAATGGGTCTGTGTGTGCGACCCCCTTTTTCGGGCCCCTGCACTCCACACTCGAGTGACACCTTCCTCTATTAGTGTTCACATTCCCTCTTTCTCTCTCTCTTTCACTCTCTCTCTTTCACTCTCTCTCTCTCTCTCTCTCTCTCTCTCTCTCTCTCTCCTTCCTCCTTTCATGGCGGTCACTCTCGTCCCAATTCATTCATCGCTAAGTGCTGCCACTGAGGGTTCTGATTGAAAAGGTGGAGCTGAACCTGTGGAGCTTGAAAAAGAGAGAGAGAGAGAGAGAGAGAGAGGGGAGAGAGAGAGGAGGACTAGCAAAAAGGTACCCCGAACCTGTCATTGTTAGGGCGTGCGAGGAAACGTTAGAGTGTGAAAGGGGAGAGAGAGATGGGGGGGTGGGAGAAAAAAGTGCAAATTATTAATGCTTCATGAATGCCACTTTCTTTAAATCAACAAAGAGAGCAACGAGAGAGAGTGGGAAAGAGAGGGAGAGAGAGAGAGAGAGAGAGAGAGAGAGAGAGAGAGAGAGAGAGAGAGAGAGAGAGAGAGAGGCTTTGTGCCAGCAGTGCCGTTTCACCCTGTAGCCGTGCCACATGCTAATTAGCCACAGAAGTTAAATTAACCTCCCTGCAGGAGAGATGGAGAGAGAAAGAGAGAACAGGGGAGAAAGGGAGAGAGAGAACGAGTGGGGGTCCTTGTTCTATCTGATCTGGTCCCCTCTCTGGCCCGGGGGTCGGCTGAAACAAAAGTTTCGGAGGCCCCTGTGGCAGCACCGGGTGAGAGGACAGTTCGAGTCCTTTTGTTTCCAGAAGAAGAAAAAGAGGCCCGGAAGAATTTCTCTCTCTGCGCCTTTTGTGAGGGGTCGGGGCCACTTCGGCCTGGACAGAAGGGGCGACAGAGGGGGAACGGAAGGAGGCGGTGACCCTGCACTTGTTTTTTTTAGAGCGTTTTGCTTAATAACAATATCATGTCGTTGTAATTGACCTGTCCATGCTCCGCCCACAGATGCGTTCTTACGTAAATGCTGTTGCTAGGTCCGACTAGCTTTACAGAATGATGGTAAAAGTCCAGTTCAAACTAATGAGAAATTTCAAAATTTGCATAACTCACAGTAGATGGAGGGAAGCTGCTAAACTGTGCAGCAACAGATGGGCTACAGTATGTAATTATACACCTACACAGCGGACCTATAAAGTAAGTGTTTCTGATAAAATCTCCAGTGATTGTGGTTACAAAGTTAGGGTTTTTAATAAAATGACCCCAGTGTAAACATTCAGGTCCATAAATTGGACAATGACAAAGTTTTTGTTGTTTTTGTTGTGATTAAATGTGTTTAAAGTGCAGATTTTCAGCTTTAATTTGAACTATGTACATCCCAATCGGGTGAACCGCATAGGAACTATGACCATTTTCATACATAGCACCCCAAAAGCATCAGTATAAACATTTCATGTGGCCAAATCAACCTTGTCGTTCATTCATAAAAAACTTAGAATGCACTAGTGGGCTCCGAATCACCGAAAGGCCCGAAAGACCATGGAAAACAACTCTGGTGGATGACAAGAATTCCTTGTTACACCTCTTCACAACAGTCGGCTAGATCTAAAAACACCCTTTAGTACACTTTGCCAGAGTAAATACAGAGGGTTTACCACAAGATATACAGTACTGGAACATTGCGTGGACAGATGAAACCGAGATCAACTTGTAACAGCATGATGAGAAGAGAAGAGTGTGAAGTTAACAAAAGAAGGTGCTCATGATTGAAAGCATACCACCAATCTGTAAAGCATGGTGGAGGTAGTATCATGATGCCAGTGGAACTGGTTCCCTTGTATTTATTGATGGTGCCTTGTATGTATTGATGTGCTGATAAAAGTAACGACTACAGAGCTATATTATCTGCTCAGGTCCAGCCAAATGCTTCAGAACTCATTGGATGGCTCTTCACAGGGCAGATGTCCAAATATTTAGAGACCGGGGTTGCCGATTGGCGTAATGGAGTTCAGATCAGTGCTCTGTGCTCGTTATTCTATTGCGCTGGCTCATTAAAGGCATTAGAGTGTTAAATTCGCTGCATTCATCTGATAAAGGACTTACACAAATACTCACCTACTTACCTGGATTACAGGTGTGCTGCTGGGCTTTGTTTGAGCGTGCGGTGATTCCCCTCATCTCTGCTCCGCTGGCTCATGTTCGTATTAAACTCTTGGTGAATATCAGCCTTCGTCATGATCATCATCATCATCACTGGCACTCGGGTGCGTGTGTAAATCCCTCAGCAGTCCAGCGCGCGGCTAAAAGGCCGTGGATGTGCCTGTTTTAGGCCGCAAAGCTGTTAAATAAATAAGATTAGTGCGCTCACTCTGTCTGTTTGAGCTGCTCACAATACACGGCGTAATATCTGATGGTTTATGCACGGAATTATTGTTATCCCCTCTAAGTCGACGGGATTCTCTCATACTCGCTCTTTTTTCCCCACTCGTTTTCTAGTGCTCTCTCTCCTCTGTATTCTCCTTCTCTCTCTCTCTTTGCCTTTTGTTTTTGATCTGATTTGCTTCATGAAGAAATGAAGCACTTCTCTATGGACTTTAAGTATTAAGACAAGCAGTCATTCTGGACCAGTTTGCAGTGGAAATGGGTTAGAAGTGCCCTTGATTGTGTTAAACTACTTTAGTGCTGAATTGATCTGTCCAGGCCCCACCCACAAATGCATTCTTTTGTAACTACTGTTGCTAGATTGGACAAACTTTAGAGAACTCTGGTAAAAATCCCATTCAACCCAATGAGAAACTGTAGAACGGACTCTGTATATATATCACAATACCTACATTTAGAGTCAGTTATTCATTCAGCCTAATGAGAAACTGTAGAACAGACTCAGTTTATATCACAATACCTACATTTAGAGTCAGTTATTCATTCAGCCTAATGAGAAACTGTAGAACAGACTCAGTTTATATCACAATACCTACATTTAGAGTCAGTTATTCATTCAGCCTAATGAGAAACTGTAGAACAGACTCAGTTTATATCACAATACCTACATTTAGAGTCAGTTATTCATTCAACCCAATGAGAAACTGTAGAACAGACTCAGTTTATATCACAATACCTACATTTAGAGTCAGTTATTCATTCAACCCAATGAGAAACTGTAGAACAGACTCAGTTTATATCACAATACCTACATTTAGAGTCAGTTATTCATTCAAACTAATGAGAAACTGTAGAACAGACTCAGTTTATATCACAATACCTACATTTAGAGCCAGTTATTCATTCAACCTAATGAGAAACTGTAGAACAGACTCAGTTTATATCACAATACCTACATTTAGAGTCAGTTATTCATTCAAACTAATGAGAAACTGTAGAACAGACTCAGTTTATATCACAATACCTACATTTAGTCAGTTATTCATTCAACCTAAAGAGAAACTGTAGAACAGACTCAGTTTATATCACAATACCTACATTTAGAGCCAGTTATTCATTCAACCTAATGAGAAACTGTAGAACAGACTCAGTTTATATCACAATACCTACATTTAGAGTCAGTTATTGAATGAGGCACAATTAAATAAAATTAAACTAAGTCATTCAGAGTGGTTTGGTGTGAAATGCTCCATTCTAGAGAAACTTACAGAGTCAGAATTGTTCACAGTGGTGGTGATAGGAACCAGACGTCCACCTCTAAAAGCTCCCTCACAGAAAGTTACTACATGAAATGGTCATGAATACACTGCTTGATGTCTGAGACATTGTTTTATGATAGTTTTGAGAAGATTTTGGCCTAAAATTAACTACATTCATGGTGGAGGGATACATGCAGAGCATTCTAAGGCAAAATAGTCCTGAAAGAAAACTTATTTTTTCAGATTTTCCACTATGTTACCATCATCAACTTTCTATGTAAAAGCTCAGACGACACGTGTAGGTTCACTAGTGGCTATATTAGACTATATTTATAGAAAGTTTCTATACAATGAACCATTTTCTATCAAAACAGTAGAATTCCTTTTTAGTTTAGTTCTTTTTAGCCAAGAACAGCATGCAGCTTTTTTACTGCCCTGTTGCGGCTCAACAGTAGAATTAGATTTGTAGGTAAAAATAAAATCATCCTTCTTTGCAGTAAAATAAAGCTCTGCTGATCGTTCAACACAGTTTTAACAATAAATGGTCTTAAACGCTGGAGTCAATGTATATCTGCTAATTCACCTTTAACCCTGAAGGTTAGCGCGCAGACTGCTGGTCACTATAGCAATGCAGACAACAATCTCACCTAGCTAGTAGCTAATAAAAGGCAAGAGAAAGATTTAAGACAAACATCAATGATTTGGAGACAAATTGACTTATTTGCATTAATAATCACTCCAGCTGGTTTCCTGATATGTTTAATCTGCAGTGAGAAACTGTCAAACACTAAAAAGTCGCAGAGCTGAAGTCAGTTTCTTGTTTGCCAGCCTCTTGTTTGAATTTTCCCGTTCCATCTCAAATGGTGTAGCAGTTACATTCTGGCCCCTCAGGCAGCATTTAAGGTGAATGGCAAAATTCGAACAACAAGCTGGCGAATGAGAAGCAACTTTAGCCTTGTAAAAAGTCGAAGGTTGAGAGACATTTTTAAGAAACTGTTCTACTTTTGAGGAAAAGTTTCCTGCCAGAGATGCGAGAAAAGTGGCTATATATATGTATATATTTTAAGCCTATACTAGGACATTAGCACATATTGAGACATATTTACAGTCAAGATGGTAAAATGGATCCCGAGGTGGTTTTATTTTTTAAAAGGACAAAATGGCTCTTCTTAACATTTGGGTTGCGACCCCTGGTCTAGAGGATAGCTGTGCATCAGCTACAGATGGGCTACAGTCTTCAGCTGTACACCAGCAAGTTGGAGCTACAAGAGAGCTGTTTCTGATAAAGTGGCCAAGTGTTTTCACAAGAAAATAGCATTTTCCCCCAGTGAAGTAGTCTTTTTTTTTGTCAATCAGAGTCGTACTGCATGTTGTTCATTCCTCTGTCTCAGAGACGAACCTCTTTTTCAGATACGAATGTAAACGTCTGACATTTTGAGACGCGTCGGGAGGCTAAATGGGGGTTGGAGTGATGATCAGATAGGGATATTATATTCCATTCTGTAAGATGAGAGGAATGGAAAATGGCATTTTGCAAGTGCGTGTGCGCGCGTGTCGGAGCCCACCTAGCTCGTAATGAGAACGGCTAAACTCTCATTTCAACATGAAGAGCGTCCCTCTCTCTTTCTAAAAGGTGACACGTCTCCCCCCTCCGCTTCAGAAACGAGGGAGATAAGATCCAGACGGAGTTTTACATCAGAGAGAGAGAGAACGAGCGAGGGAAACGAGCGAGAGAGCGGGGGTGGAGGGGTAAAGAGAACAAACGTGACTGATTTTTCCTTTTTTTTCTGAAAGTTTTGATACTCATTTCATCCAGGGTTTTTTTTTTCTTTCTTCTGTCAACTTCAAACCGGTCACTTTATCTTATTCCTCCTACACCTAAAAGAGAAGAAATGCTGGGCCATTGTCCGGCGAGCAGAGATTCATTTCAGATTTTGCTCTTCCTTCAAAGGACCTGCATTACGTGGCCCGGGACAGCGGAGAGGCGGTGCTGGCCAGCGTGGCCAAGAAGAAGGCCCAGGAGCTGGAAATGGAGGAGGTCACACCTTCTGACCCAGGTGAGGGAGAGTTAAAGGAGTGGTTTTGAGCTAGAAAGAGAGAATTTGTGAGTGAGCTTCATGTTGGGACAAATCCAGCTAATAACACTTCAGTAAAGCTTCAGAAGTTTGAAGTGCAGATTGTTGATTGTTTTTAATAACTTCATTGGGTTTATATAGTAATTCCAGATAGTTGCTATGGTGTTGATCTAAGGATGGTATTCCAGCTTGTTGTTAGGGCATTGGTGGTTGTTAGTTGGTTGCTAAGATATTGCTAGGCCATTGCAATGCTATCCCACGTGGTTGCTTAGGTGTTTCTAGGCCATTGCTATGGTGGTTGCTAAGGTGTTGCAATTATTATGGTATATACTATGGTGGTTGCTACAAGGATGGCATTCCAACTGGTTGTTAGAACTATGCTTGGTGGTTGTTAAGATGTTGCTAGGCTGTTGCTATGCTATTCCATACTATAGGCAATTACTATAGTATCCCAGGTAGTTGCTATAGTGTTGCTACAAGGATGGTATTCCAGCTTGTTGTTAGGACTTGATGCTTGATGGTTGCTAAGATGCTGCTAGGTTGTTTTGATAGTATTCCAGGTGGTTGCTAAGGTGTTGCCAAGCTGTTGCTATGGTATCCCAGGTGGTTGCTAAAGTTTTGCTAGGATGTAGCTATGCTATCCCAGGTGGTTGCTAAGGTGTTGCTAGGCCATTTCTGAACTATTCCAAGTGGTCGGTAAAGTTTTGCTAGACGATTACTATGCTATCCAGGTGGTTGCTAGGCAATTACTGTGGTATCCCAGGTAGTTGCTATGGTGTTGCTATGGTATCCCAGGTGGTTGCTAGGTAATTACTATGGTATCCCAGGTGGTGACATACGTGGATGTCTGTGGTGGCTGACTGTGGTGTTAGAGGTATAAATATTATATATAATGTGAGTGGAATGACTCCAGTGTGCGAACCTTCATTAAAAACATTGGTTTCCAATTTTTGGATTCTGCATAACGTTGGCTTTAGGATTAACATCACAACCTTCTGTTTAAAATGTGATGGAACTGTTAAAAGTGATGACTGATGTAAAAATAGCGTCAGGATGCTTCTTACAGTCAACTAGTACATCATAGCAAGTCTAGCACTGTGTGATAGGAGGAGGCCTAGGCAGGTGGAATTAGCCATGACTAAATTAGGGAGGAAAAAATGGGTAAAAAGAAAAGTACCAAGAAATCACATTAACCCCAAACATAGTTGATCAGACAGGACTATTGGTGTCTGCTTTTTCACTTTTGCACTGGAGCTACAAGGCTAATGTAGCAAAGGTAATGGAAACTTACGCAGTTTGCATAACTGCATGCCCAAATCATGGAGTTGTACAGTAATCTGTAATAGACTTTATTATGTGGTTTATGTGGGTTTTTGATGCTGCATCACACACTGTTATCTGTAGACATGGACTAAAATACATTAGCAAGGCAAAAAAGAGTAGTAGCCCTCTTGAAGCCTGTCTCTTCTTTTTACCTAGAAAAATGGTGTGGATGGTTTATAATCTTTCCACACATTTTCTCTGCTTGTTTCAGTCAGTTAAGAGTGGGAAATAATTCATATAAAATTAAACCAAACCTGATTTCACTAGATGATGTTGAAAGTTTTATTCCATTAAATCTGTATGAGAAGAGTGTAAAATGATTGTATTATTTGTTATATTATATTATAGTGTTGTATTATTTGTTTATTGGTGCTCTCACTGTGATGCATTCTGCGCTGCGGCGCGTCTGGTGTGCGGTGGCCTTAAGAGTTAACCATATTCTACTCATACTGAAATCCGTGTGTTCAGAATAGGGCTGGGCAATATGACAATATTTATAGTTGTCATGATAAATTATGTCACAGTATGTCAAAGTTTGCTTTTCTGAGTATACGGAACATCGTCAGTGCTTAAAACCAGTTTCAGCTGCGTTGCTGATTAAGAAGAGCGTGATTAGTCCTGTTTCATTGCATTTAGTGCAGCACAGTGTTTGAAAACAGATCATCATATTCATAGTTTTTGCTATTTTAACATGGTGCTAGTTTGTCTAACAGATGTCAGAATAATATATTTTGCCATACCATGCATTGTGAAAACCTTTTGAAGTATCGCAAAATTTGTTTTTGTTTTTTTTTCATATCGCCCACCTCTAGTTTAGAATGTGATGTAACTGTTGAGAGTTCTAATTATGATGTAATAATGGTGTGTAGTCGCTTCTGTTTATTGATTATTACATCATAGAAAGTCATAGGAATTCTAGAACTGCATTCAAACACTTACTGACTTGATGATTCAGAAACAATTCATATAAAATTACACCAGGCTTTTGTTACTGTCAGCCATAACTGCAGACGTATCTTCTAAGGGTTCGTATACCCAGATATGATTTTAACAAAGCTGTCATATGTGAACATTAGTGGCGTAATTCATTCCTCAGTGCGTACAGTCCTGCCAAAACAGCCTCATTTCAATAGTGTTTGTGATGTCACACATTTACAAATATCCGCTTATTCAGCATTAGCCCGCCCATTCGTGTTAGAATGGAGTGTTTCAGCCTGGACTGCTTCATGAATGAGAGAGAATACAGAACAGAGCTCATTTACATATATAAGTCTTAAAGCGACAGTAACAAAAGCAGCCTGTTTAATTCTAAGCGATAAAGAGAGGTTGGAAAATGGTCATGTAAAAATGAATCATGACTGTTTTTGGTACATAAACAGGTGAAAAATACAGGAAAAAACATATGGGCCCTTTAAATAAACAGGTTTAGAGAACCTCCTGATCTCACTTACTGTACATTTTAACGTCTAAAGTTTTTGAAGCCTCTATGATTGAAAATTTTCATCTGCTGCTCCCTGTATTTGTGTTTAGTGGGGTATTTTGGGAGCCAGTTGCATTGAGCGCGCACATTTGTGCAGGTGTGTGGAAATTCATTGAAGGATGAGGCCTCGATGAAGCTTCAGAGAGAATGTAATGGAGAGCGACAGAGAGAGAGTGAGGGGGGGTCTACATTAGCGGAGGTGCTAAAAAGGCGTACTGATGAGACGAGGGAGGTGTTTAACTTCTCACACGGAGGTCACTACCTCAGGCTGTGTGCGTGTGAGTGTGTGTGTGTGTGTGTGTGTGTTCACACTCCCCCACGCACACACACTCATAAGCCTCTTAATTATGTCCTTGATGATTTCCTTGCTCCCTTTCCTCCCCGGAGCAGGCTCAAGGTGCTTCAGAGCATCAGAGAGAGAGAGAGAGAGAGAGAGAGAGAGAGAGAGAACGAGGAGAACAGACAAGTTAAATACAGAGAGTGTTTGGGAGCATTTACAGGTGCTAAAAGCTGGAATGTTGCTGTTATATTTGATGGTTAATTTTTCATTTTTCTCTGCAACTCTGTCTCTCTCTCTCCCTCTCTCTCCCTTCCTTTCTCTATCCTCCCTTCTCTCTCTGTTTTTTCTCTTCTTTCTCTGTCTCTCTCTCTCTCTCTCTCTCTCCCTTTTCTAGCTCTTACTCTACCTCTCTCCCTCTCTCTCATTTTATCCCCTTTCTCCCACCCTCTCTCTCTCCATCTCTAATTTCTGCTATCTTCACTCTTTTTTCTTTTTCCTCCAACCTCTCTTTTTTGTCTTGTTCATCTTAAGCATTCTCTCTCTCTCTGTTTGTCTCTCTCCCTCTCTCTTCTTCTCTTCTTCCTCTGTCTTGTCCTCCTACTCTTTGTTTTCTCATTTTCTGTTTCTTTCTCATCCTTTTCTTTTTCTTATTTATCAGTAACCAATATGACTGATATTATTTAATAGTGTGTGAATGGATTATTTGCAGCATGTCATGAATAGTGAGTACAGCAGTGTTTTGCATTTGAGGGGGGGCAGAGGTCTGCTGAAAGACACACACACACACACACACACACACACACATATACACACACACACACACACGCTTCACATGCAAGTTTAGTTGAGGAAAAAGGCCACTCTGACTGGCTGAAAGTGTTTCATACTTCTGTCAGTGTAGCAGTGACTCCCCGAGAATCATAACAGCCAAAATATCAAATCAGCTGATCATTAATAAACATTAGTAGCCATCAGTTAGCATGGAGTGATTTACATTAGGCTAATAATTGGCTAAAAGTCATCCTTCAGGATTAGCAACATTAATATCACTGAGTGAACTGGACCTTTAGTGTGTGATAAAAAAACATGCAATTTACAATTTACACACTTCAGAATTCACTGAGTTCACACTGCTATTCAGTTTTATTTGTCTGAACTTGTTTAAAATTGATGTATAAATGATTCAACCAGGCCAGAGCCACAGAATTTTGAAAATTTCAGTGAAAAATTCTCTCTCCTGTATGGTGTGTAACCGCTAAAACTACAGTCTTAAAGAAGACGGTTCTTTAAGGGTACTTTAGTAAAAAAAAAATGGTCCAAACGGTTCTTCAGTTGTTACAAGCTCATATCGTAACAATAGCAGAACCCTGTTTGGTGCTATATAGAACCATTTTCAAAAAAGTTCTGTATGGCACATTCCTCATCAGTCTCATCAGAAGAACCATTAATCTGTTAATCATGTAAAGGTTTCTTTGGGTGTTCATGGGTCTATAAAGAATCTTTACTAAAGAACCCTTTAAAAACCATCAGTTTTAAGAGTGTATAAACGTTCTCATTTCATTACATCATCATACAGATGATGTAACAGCCACACAGTAATATACTTTAAAGTGATGGTTCAGTGAAGAGGAGATGAAGCGTTTCTTCTCTGAATCATCACATATAACAGGGTGTCAAAGTCAACCACTAAAAGGGCCATATTACAAAATCTCAGATCTGAGGTCCAGCTGTGTTTTTATTTTATTTTTACTGAACATTTTGCCATGATCCCAACTGACCATTGTTTATTCAAAATATGCCAAAACTACAACACCGAAAATAGGCACTGAATACTTGAATTATTCAAAAACAATTTTAAATAAACACAAATTTTTATATGTAAAACAATAATATAATAGAATAATAACAATAATTGAACAAAAGTTCTATATTTTAATCAGGTAAAT